CCCAAACCGGACGAGTGGGCGAGAGCGGGGAGGGCCGCTGCCGTGACCCCGGGGGCCCGGCCAAAGGAGGCAGGATCGCACGGGCCCCGGGAGGCGCGGCAGGATGCGGAGAAACGCCACCAGCCCATTCCAAGAAGCATTCCGCCCTTCGGCTGTAGGTCGCACGCGAAAAGGCTAGACACGCCCCCCCCCCCCGCCTCTGCCCCTAACACCCGGCCATTTGGCCGCGGTCGGGCCGGGCCCCGGTCGAGGAATGGCTCTGCCGGGCTGTGCTTCCCGTGCCCCGCGCCGCCCAGTGCGCGGCCACCGCAGCACAGGCGAACATCGCAGGTCCATCCGCGGGAGACACCGGGAGATCGGGCAGCCCCCCCCCCCCCCCCCCCGACGCCGACTCACTCCCGGCCGCCCCGAAGCCCGGGATGGCGGAGGAGCCGGGCTGGGCGCGCGGCCGATCGCGACAACGCGATCGCCCCCTCCCGGGACACGAGCCTGCGCATGTGTGTCCCCCGGGAGGGGGGGGGGTCGGCCGCGGCGGCGGGGGGGCGGCAACCCAGCCCAAAGGGGCGAAATGTTGGCCCCCACGCGCGGTCGACAGGCAGGCACACGCCCGCGGGCCGGGGCCGATCGCCATCTGACGCAGGGCACACGCGCCAGCACGAGGGGGGGCCCCCCCCCGGGCCCGGCCAGAGGGGGATGACCGCACAAACGCCCAACCAAGTTGCGCCCTCCCAAAGAGGGGGCGCGCGGGATGGCGACCGAGGCAAGAGCCGGGGCACACGCACACGCACACGCACACACCTGACCCCTTTGTCGAAGACGCCTGCACCGCCCGCCCCCCACTCCCGGGCCCGCCTTGGGCTCTTGATGGCCATCGGACCCCCTCCCACCACCACCGCCCCCGATGCGCGGGGGACCGCGCAGAGGGGGGACACGGGGGGCGCGAAGGAGGCAGCGAGGCGCCGGCCACACATGGCACAGCTGGGCGAACTTACGGGCGCGCTGGCAGGGCCCACTTCGGCCAGCCGCGCCCGGAGCCCCCCTCCCCTCCCCCCCCCTCCCCCGGCCCGACGTGGGAACCGCCGGCGGTGAGGCATGCCCCGGCGCCGGCCCAGGCGGTCGGGGGCAGGATTCGAAACAGGCCCGGGCGCGGGAGGGGGGGCCGGGCGCGCGCGCGCGCGCGTCACCGTGCCCGCACACGCGCGCACCCGCCGTATACCCACGCTCGCCGGGCGCCCCCTCGCCGGACGGGGGAGAAATTCACACGCCGCCCCGGTACCCGGCGTCGCTAGGGGGCGGCCCCGCTGCACATATATCCCCCCGGTCTTCAGGGGGGGCACAGCGT